GGCCTCCCGAGTCCCCTGCTCCGCCAAGGCCTCCCGAGTCCCCTGATCCGCCATGGCACCCGGAACGGGTACTGCTCTGGAGGCCCACTGTCCAGTGTCTGTCCTGAGGGACCTCCAGAGTGCCCACCCCCCCTCCCCATTGGATGGTATATGGCGTGAGGACACGCCTTCCGGAGGGGGGTGTGATGTCAGACTCTGTTCCATGTTTTGTGTGTGTCTTGCTCCCCATGTGCCTTCCTATGTCCTTATTTGGTTAGTTTCCTGTTCCTGTCCTGATTAAGTTGATTTCTTCCCAGGTGTTTCCCATGTTTAATTTCCATTGATCCCAGGTGTGTCTTGTCATCCCCTCCTCCTGTGTGTATTTAAAGTGTTCCCAGTCCCTAGTGCTCTGTCCGCTGTTAAACGTCTTCCTGAGTTCGTCTGCCTTGGTTCATGGAAATAAAGTCTTGTTAAAGTATTCTCCAGCATCTCCTCGTTCCTCGTGTGTGTGCACCATGACACTAATATATATATTTATATACAGTATATGTGTGTGTGTGTGTGTATATATATACATTTTTTTTTCTATTGACAATACAACTACCTAAGTTGAGTGTGCAAAATACGATAGTATTGTAAAATTACGATAGAATACTACAGAACAATTAAATTTACAGCACATTCATGAATAAAAGTAGAAAAGGTACATTGCTGTCAGGGTTCTGGACTCTCTGTGTGTGTTTTGCTGACCCAGTTTCTCCTCTTGTTAATTGTATTCATTTGATTCCAGCTGTGTCTATTTTGTCCTTCGTTTTCCTGTGTTTGTAAGCCCCAGTCTGTTCAATTAGTGTTTGTTGGGTCTACCAGTGATGTACGTGTGTCTACCTCCTGTTCCCTATGTTGGATTTACCCTCTGTGGTGGATACCATTAAAGACTCTTTTGATTATCCACGGCTCCATGTTCCTTCCGGCAGCATAACGTGACAATTGTCTTGTTGCTCCCACCAGAGTGACTTGATCGCACTTGATGTTGTATTTGAGTCCTAACTCATAAATACGAACATCCCAGGAGAACTTGAACACACCACTACTGACATACCAGCATAACCAGCATTAAATTACTGCAAGAATTTAGAAAATAAGAATTGCCTACAAGATTAGTATAAAACAATGGTAAAATAGTTAAACATTAACCAATAAGTGACATCAACTTAAATGGAAAGTTGTATCAGATGAATGTTATTACATGTAAAAGTGTGATGGTCACACCTTAGTTTAGGGACCAATTCTCACTATTAACTACGAATTTTGCCTACCCGCCTCTAGAGGGCACTCTCTCGCAGCTGCATAGCGCAGTGGCCAGAGCTGAAAAGAAGGGCTTTTTGTTCTTTGAACTGTTCGATTAGGGTCCCCTGATCATGCGTGAGCTGAAGTGTGTGGGTTGGTAGATAACACCGGTTGTTTTCTTAAAGAGTTACTTCACCCAAAAATGAAAATTAGCCTGTGTTTTACTCACCCTCGAAGCATCCTAGGTGTATATGACTTTCTTCTTTCAGACGCACCCAGTCAGAGTTATATAAAAAATTGTCCTGGCTATTCCAAGCTCTATCATTGCAGTCAGCGGGTGCTGCAGTTGAACAGTCCACAGGTCGTCAAATAAAGTGCGCACATCCATAATAAAACTTGCCTCACATGGCTCCGGGGGGTGAATAAAGGCATCCTTCCATGCGTTCATGCGTTTTTGTAATAAAAATATCCATATTTCAAAGGAAATAAACACTTTTCTCTCACTTCCGGTATCTCGGAAGACATGAAGACATTCCAGCGGATGACGCAGGACGTATGCGCAGCACACGCCTCTGAAATATGCTGGTCTCTCGAGTTTGTTTATAGGAGCAAAGGAAGCAAAGTTTCCTTACTTTAGCAAAGGAAAACCAGTCTCCTCTTGGTTTATATATCGAAATCCTCCGAAATTTTTTGTTGTAAATCTTTGCTTTGTACTTCTAATTCGTGACTGGCATTTTGTTTTGTTTTCTCTCCGCATTCGTAACTAATCACGTAACACGTAACTGGAACGGCTTCTGCGTAGACTTGTGCCGGTATTCGGTAATGCGATATATCACGGTAATGAATATGCACGTTATTGTTATCGTGGGCACTTCTAAATACCATGAATAATTATATATTACAAACTATTCCGAATTTTGGATACATTAAGAATACTTTTCCCATCAGCTGGTCAAAATGCACAACAGCGCTTTATGCTGCGTGAAAGACATGTGCGCACTCTGATGTAAATAAGCCAGGACGAGAAGCACATGGCGGAACATGTGAGACACTCTGGATGAAAGTGCACTTTCACTCTCTGACAGCAGATGGTACTATACTGCAGAAATAATAATAATAATAATTCATTTAAATGCAGCCATTACCCTGGAAACCCTGTAAACAAAGCAGCTACACTACTTTCTGTTTCTGAATCGTGTTTAAATGACTTAAACAGCCATTCAGATTTGTGTATTTGCTATGATGTTCATCACAGCGCCAAATACTTAAATATTTAGACTTAATAGGCTATTTATTTTCAAACTTTTTTTTACATTTTAATCTGGACTACAACATGCCCTAGATATTGTTTGAAAGTGTTTTGATTCTTTATTGTTCGGTCACACTTTACATTAGTTAACATTATTTAATTCATTAGTTAACAAACTGCCAATGAAAAATTCTTCTGAACATTCATTAATCTTAGGTATTCTAATATTTAATAACAGGTTAAAATTGAAAGTTGCAACTGTTATTTAATGAGCTAACATGAACTAAGACTATGTATTTTTTAAACACAGATTAATAACTTCTGTAGCAAATGTAGCTATTGCTCATTGTGAATGTTAATGCATTAACTAAGGTTAACTAATGAGGTCTTATTGTAAAGTGATACCTATTGGTCTTTTTAAACTAAATTTCAATATCGTGATAATACCGTATATCGTGATAAAAGCATTAGTAATTAATCGCAACATGAAAATTTTATACCGGCATATCCCTACTTCTGCGTATGACAGATATCGGAAGTGAGAGAAAAGTGTTCATCACGCTTGAAATATCGATATTTTCCTGACAAAAACGCATGGATTTGCTACAGAAGGCCTTAATTCACCCCCCGGAGCCATGTGAGGCACGTTTTATTATGGATGCGCGCTTTATTTTACGACTTGTGGACTGTTCAACTGCAACACCCGCTGACTACAATGATAAAGCTTGGAATAACCAGGACAATTCTTAATATAACTCCAACTGGATTCGTCTGAAAGGAGGAAGTCATACACCTAGGATGCTTTGAGGGCGAGTAAAACACAGGCTAATTTTCATTTTTGGGTGACCTTACCCTATAACCTGAAATAGCAGAAAGTTTTGACATTGAAAAAGTTACACCACATTTGGAGACAAAGATAATGTTGCTTTAATACATTGCTTTAATCACAAACCTTCCAGATGAGATTTTTCTGTCTCTTTGAGGAAAATCTGCTTCAAGAATCCTTCTTCTGTATCTGAGAAAGAGAGATAACCAATTAACAGTTTATAAAGAATATCAATTATGTCTTTAAAGCTGCAGTCCAGAAGTTTTGCCTCTTTGTCGGCATCTGTTTGAAACTTGCAGTTGCAATTATTTGCGGAATTATCATGTTTACGTGGGTTGTGCATCGGCACAGCTCCTCAGCACGGATGAATCAAATGTTTTGAGGAGTATGTGTGGCTGTCAGTCACCGCACCGGTGCGGATACTGTTCTTCGGAATCACAGATTCTATGTCTTGGAAGTGTCGAAGAAAAAAAAAGCATTATAATATAATCGCAATAACAATAGTGATTAAATCTATCGCTGAACTATCTAAACTATCGCTTAGCTCAAATCACATAAAACCATGCAAAAAAAAAAAGTGTATTTAGTTTGTATTAGTGTTACCTGTAGATTTCGATTTCTGTACAATATAATCTCTAATTGTCATACCATTCGAATTTCATATAAAGAAATTGTTCTTTTTAGAGATCGACCGATGTATCTATATTTTCCCGATATTTAAGCATTTTACAATAATCGGATATCGGTTTTGTGATATCGGATTCACCGATAAACGCCGCCATCTTGTGGATGTTTTGAGAATTGTGCGCAGGATCACCATTGCAGCGCATCTGAGGGGAAACAAGACAACAACGGCGTGCATGCGTACTTGAGTTACAGTAGTAAATAAACTTTATTTAACATAACAGCCATTAATGCACAAATTAGATGCATTACATAAATGCCTGATATGCAGTTTATGCAGCTTGGCTCGAAGAAATAGAGACGAACTCACGGAGTCACGTAAGATAATCCGTAAAGTCCTGAGCCAATAACGACATAACTTTGCCTGAATTAAATAATACAGCCATGAATGAGCGCATTTTGGAAATAAAAACGCTAAATTTAATTCTCTTTCTGTTGTCTATGCTCATCATTAGTCTCGTGACGCCGCTTTCATATTGCTGTTCACTCATTGGGTTGATGCTCAGGAAATGCTCCAGCACGGCCACTGCACGTAACTTTTAACAAGATTCACTTGTTTAAAAAACCCTAAATTGTATTAACATTTACTATATAACCATTAGCTCTGCGTATTATCCCGTTCTATGCGTGTGTGCTCCGCTCAGTCGCTCACGGCCCATGTGAGTGCGCCACTCATATACCGTTCATGCTCCTCAGAACAGCAAAGTCCACTCAAAAATCGAGCTGACAGGAAACATCGATGTAGTACAGTATTGTTTCTGTTTGCAATAGCCCTACTGTGTTGTAACATGGTGTGGTAAATGGGCAACCCTGGCAATGCTGCCCTCTCATTCATTGATTTGCTAACCGTTATGCTCACGTGTCCTCTGATAATAACAGCTTTCTAGGATTAAACATTTGGATAATTGGTAAAAAAAATATATATATATATCTTAATAGCTAATAGTATGTTAGACCTACCTGAAAAGCTAAAAAGCAATTTATTTCATTTGTAGGCCTATCGTGATTTTTTTTAAAATTTGTGCTATCATTAGTAATTTCTTTATTTGTTCTTATTTTATAATTAACTGCTTAGCCTCCTTGTCATTTTTTATTCAATTCAAAGTTTTAAATCAAGCTATCTCGTGCTACTGCAACAAAATTACCCAACTGTAAAATACACTGAGTGAGCAAAACTTTGTTTAATTACCATTATAACTAGCTATCTCACAATGTTTACATATGAATAAAAGCCTACATTAAAATGTCATATAAATTGGTCTTTTCATTAGAAATTGGCCTACTGATTGCCACCATTGATGGACAATTTTTTTTAATAATATTAAAAATATCTGTATAACATTATATTCTGCAGTTCTTCCCTGCTGTACCGAATATCCATAATTTTCAAAGTATCATATCGAAGTTAGAAATTCAAATATTGTGACAACTTATTTTGTAGGGTGCCACAAATTTGTTAAAATTTCCAAAGGGTGCCGCGACTAAAGAAAGGTTGGGAAAGACTGATCTAGAATGACAAAACCATTATTAGTAATTCTGATATAACATGCCAGTTGAGAAAAGCAATAAAATACGATGTTTTGTTTGTTATATTTCAATAGTTCAGAGAATATTATTCAGTGAATTAACATTATCCAGTGAATTATTCTTCACTCTTTAGCCTATTAAACATCTTATAAACCTACTAAAACTGTAGTTTAAAATGAAGTTGATATGACTCCTTTCCTTTATTTATTTTCTCCATTTGAAAATCTTCATTAGACCTTCTACATTTATTTTACTTCTTGTTAATATTAGTGTCGCTGCTGATGCTTTAAATAAAATGTTTTTTATTGTTGTAATGTGAAGATTAAATTTAACATGAAAGAGTGCAAATTTTCAACACTTTTTTTAAAGATGACTGAAAGGAGGAAAAACCAAAGTGAAGTATGGACTTACTTCACTCAGTCATTTATTTACTTTATAACAGTAAATAAATATCGGTTCCGCATATCGGTTATCGGGCACTTAAACATGCAAATAATTGGTATCGGTAATAAAATATCAATATCGGTCGATCACTAGTTCTTTTAACCCAAAACAAATTAATGTTCCTTAGAACTGGCTCTCTTTGAAATACAAATCTTGTGTAATCCCACGTATCTGTAATCAGATGCACATTTAAAACTGGAATATTTTTTTCTGTAGCCACTCCACAGCCCTGAAGGAGTGGATAGCTGATCTACAATGGCCTTCATAATAATTTAATTATAATATTTCTTGAATAATTATTTATCAAAGTTACATTTATGCGTGTTAGAGAATAAGTTGAATATGGCTTTAGTCTGCCTTTTTACTCTCCAAGAAGCTGCTCCTATTGTGTGTGTGACCATGCCCGATAAGGTTTAGGGCTGAGGCAACCTTGAAGTAATGGCACTTTTCCACTGCATGGTACGGCTCGGTACGGTTCACTTTTTGGGGGTTTTCCACTGGGTACAGTACCTGGTACTTTTTTTAGTACCACCTCGGTTGGGGTTCCAAGAGAACCGTACCGTTACCAAAACGTGACGTGTAAACTCTGCTGATCACGGATTGGCCGGAGAGAATCGTCACTACCTGCGTCACTGAACTTGTGACACAAACAGAACCGTTAGATTTAAATCAGCACAGCCAGCAAAGGATCGAAAGCAACCGTTTTGAACGAGCGCACCTTTTTTTAAACAACCAAAAAGTTTTGTTGTCTGCTGCGGAAGAACAGACGTTCCTCTCGTTGATAGCAGAGGAGCGGATCCAGCAAGAGCTTGATGGGGCGACGCGGAATGAAAAAGTTTTTTTTAGAAGTCGTGATAGTAGAGGCTGCGCAACTATAACGGCATGTGAATAATCCCGCCCACGCTAAAGCGGTACTGAACTGCAGTGGAAACGCAAACCGTGCCGAGCCATACCACGCAGTTGAAAAGCGCCATAAGATAAGTGTTTCTCTGCGTGTTAGTATCTCTCTGTACATGGAGAAGCTCAGACAGTCCCAGGACAAACGTTCAACTGCCAATGTCCAAGCGTATCAGATATACCGTATTGTCCCGAATATAAGACAATATTTTTTTCTTGGAAATACATCTGAAAAAACACGGTCGTCTTATATTCAGGGTCTAGACTTTGACATGTCAATAATACACCCACAACAATAGGTGGCACCAAATACACACAAAACAAGTGTGCCATGAAATACGTAATGTAATGCGTGTTGTAAAGATTGCGAGTAAAAACGAAAGAAAAAGAAAACCTTACAGCTGCATGAGTCATGACTGTCACGTTAGCCTGATGGGACCAAACTCCCTTTGTGATTTTAAAACGTAAGACAGTACCCAGATTTGAAGACTACAGTAAGATTTTACTTCTACTGTTAATAAGATTTTGGTGGGCTACTATTAGATGGATAGCCTAAATGTCCTAATTCAGATGGGCTACCTTTTTTTTTTTTTTTTTTTAATGGTATATCAAAGTGTATATTTTTTAAATGTGATTGTTGGTACATTTTACCAGTTTTTACCATACTTTCAAAACAAAAATTAAAATAGGAAAAATATGCAATATGAAAATAATTGAAGACACAATGTGTACGGTACATCTTTGGAGAGACACATTGTGTCTGACCTCTGATCACTTGTCACCAAAATAGTCGTCAGAAGATATGCTTCAAGCTTGCGTACATATGTGGAAATTGTCTAAGTTTATCTATGTTTTAGAATCAATCAGAATTTTGCTGACTTATGCATTGACGCAATTAGCAATCTCTGTCAGGGTATAATTGTTGGTGTTTTTGAATTGTAAAACAGAGCGGCCTACGAACTCCATCGAGAGTGTTGAAGCTGGCTTCTGCTGATGAAACTGCAAACTATGTTCTTCAGTAAATTTTTCTTTAATTTATAATGTTACTCTGACTCCTAGTCTTCATTAATTACAACAGCTGGATTACAATCAGTCATCAAAATGATAAGTTAAATTATTGCAGCTGCTGTGAGAAAAGGCTAAAAATGATCCGCCACCTGCAGCATCCTCACATGTAATATAGCCTACTAGCCAGAGGACTATTTATTTATGCAAAATGACGCAAAGACAAATGGTACCAACCAGTACCACTCAAATTAGAACACATTTATTACAAGCTTACTGTTGTGATTCGGGCTAAGATAAGGAGATAGTTTTAAATACTGGCTGGTTATGTACTTGCTCAAATTGATTTTGTATAGTTTTGAACAAAAAAAAAAAAAGAAAAGTTACGGACTGCAGCTTTAAATTACATTAAAATAAATTGCATTCATATTTACAGAGTAACTGGCACAGTACATACAGTAAATTTACTTTGGTAAGAAATCAAGAGAGGCAACTGACCGATGCATATCACGTTGGACATTTGAACGCATTTCCTCTGCCTCTACCTCATCTCCCCAGTTTTTTACTCTGGACACAGGTCCCTCACTCTCTGGGGTTGTGAAACTAAAAAAAATAATAATAATAAAAGACAAATCAAAACTTGGTCAGTCAATGTTACAACGCTAAACACTGTTTGTATGCCAGAATGAGATTATATCTCATCCTAACATAAAATTGATATTCATTCAATTAACAAAGAGGTTACAATTTATGTAATACTCCACAAAATGCCAACCACAACATTTAAAAAAAACTTCCATTTGACTCTTGAGAAAAGAAGTGTCTTCTGCACACTATTTGAATCAGATAAGGAACGTAGAATGATCACAGTTACCTTTTTGGTCTGCGTGAGCTCTGTGAACATTTGACAGGCTCTTCAACCGCGTGAGATTTTCTCAGACTACCGTCTGCACCGCGTTTCCTACAATGGGACCATCTCGAAGCGCCTTTGTTCCTTCAAGACAAAACACACGAGTAGCATTTTAAAAAAAGTAAACCAAGTAAAAAGTATTATTACACATTGTCTGAACATGAAGCACATCCATTAAAAATAAGATTTTTTTCCTTTTGTAAACAAGCAATTCGTGTTAAAACGTATTAAACGATTCATACAAACTTGGCCACGAATCAACTTATTAAACTAAATCGAGAAAATACTTGTTTTAAAGTCAACTGTTATCAAGGCGCCACAAAATATCCTGTTGTCAAAACACACGAGATCGAGCTGCTCACTACAACATGAAAATAACGAAAAAATAAAGTGACAGATTGAGAGTGCTTTTAGAAGTAATGTGGTAACGTACAATCTTGATGTCCTCATGGCGCCAACATGCTCATTTAAACTCTAAACACAACACAGAGGACTGGCGGGAGATTCGCGTCCCTTTCAATGGTGTCCACGCTTTAAAAAAGTTAAAGATATTAATAAAATTGGAAGCTAAAAGGAGTGCAAAAACGTGTTTTGATGCCCAAAACAGACTAAATAGTGCACTATAAAAAACAATACTTCATTGTCTTGCTTTGCTAGCAAACCACTAAGACAAAAAAACAACTACACCTACCACTAACTATAGTTCGAATTCTTACCTGTTTTCATCAGGTTTGCAATCGTTTTCGTATCTGTATTTTTGATGAGCAGACATTGTTTCGAATGAAAATCAGAAAGCTCCCGCACGAACTGCTGCCGGGTGTAGGTTAAACCGCGCCAATGTCCCTCCAGTGTCATGTGACATCGAGGTCACATGACACTGGAGGGGCGGGGTTGTAAATTGACAGACCCGCCCACATCCGCCGATCTTCTTCTTCTTTCTTTAACTGGCAACCGCACTTAACAGTGCATTACTGCCATCATCAGGTAGCTTGGATCAGAAACATTTCCTCTATCTCTTAACATTTTCTAACCCCCCCCCCCCCATTATAAAGACACAATTCCCCAATTCCCTTTAAATCCCAATATCCCACTGTATCCTTATTTACCCTTCAGATATACTTTCCCTTCTACCCACACCATATCAGCATCTTCTACCTCTCTATATACACTTATCCTACATTCTCTTCATTAAACCTGTATTATTCAGAAACTGAAACAACACATTTATCGTACTATTTCCTATATCTAAATCTAATATATTCTTTCATGTTAACTCTTTTCCTTCATTCTTCCATACTTCTTCTCTTAGCACTTCTATTTCTTCACCATAACCCTTACAATTAATAATCACATGCGCTACAGTTTCACTCTGTCCACATTTCTCACACAATCCCGTTGGATGTTTAGATATTAAATGTAAGGTTTTATTCAAACCTGTATGTCCCATAATTATACTTTCCTTCCTCCTATTTCTCCCACTTTTTCTATTTTTTCCCACTTTCTGTTGTATTGCATATAAATGTCTCCCTTTAGTCTCATTATCCCAATATTGTTGCCACTTTTTAATCACTTTCTCCTTTATTACAGATTTTATTTCTCTTATACTATGTGATAGCTCAATTTCTACTATTTCATAATCTACTGCTTGCTTAGCTAATTTATCTGCTTCTTCAGTTCCTTTAATTCCCACATGGGCTGGAAAACACAAACTGTACTTCTATTCTACTTTGTTTTAAAGAGATTTTGAAGGATTTTCATGATTAAATCTGGCCTTGATTCTGATTTTTGGTTATCAATACTGACTATTGCTGAATATGAATCTGAACAAATGACCGCATTTTGTATTTCTCTTTCCTTAATTAGTTGTACTGCTAGCAGAATAGCCATCAATTCACCTGTATATACTGACAGTTGATCACTTATTCTAGCTTTTTTCTTCATCAGTAACTTTGACACATTAACTGCCACTCCTACTCTCCCTCTTTTTTTGGAGGCATCTGTGTATATCCGTATATTATTTCCATACATAAGCCCTAAATACTCCTTTGCTCTCATTACTTCCATCTCATTACTTCCTTCTCTCTGTCTTATCTTCAGTAATGTTAAATCTATACTGGCTGAGGAAGAATCCATAAGGGGTTGTGTGGATACATTACTCTTGGTATACATCTATAATTGTTTATCCCCATCTCCTTAATATCTTCTTCTACAACCCATCCAAAACTCTTATGTTTATTCATTCCTTGTTCCCAACATTTTCCTAGAATTTTCTTTGTTGGATGTACCTCATGCTGACTCTTAAGATCTGTCCAAGATACAGCCATTAACTGTTGCCTTCTAATATAAAGCGGCATTTCATTAATCTGCCCGTGCCGACACCAGCGGTGGGTCCTCCACGCTGGAAGCCAGTCTGGGATACAGAAGAGCAGTCCTTGATCTGGGTGCAACAGACAGGAAGTGACCGGATTTAGAGCAAACAGCCGTCATGTGACGTGACTCTGGATGATCAGCTGAGATCTGACTAGACTCGTGAAGATCCGCTGTGACTTGATCTGCCTCACGAAGAACAGTTGTAACTTGACTGGTCTCATGAAGATCTGTGGTGACTTGACTAGACTCAGAATAATGAACTGTGACTTGACTGGACTCATGACGATCACCTGTGACTAGATCCTAGAATTTTCTTTGTTGGATGTACCTCATGCTGACTCTTAAGATCTGTCCAAGATACAGCCATTAACTGTTGCCTTCTAATATAAAGCGGCATTTCATTAATCTCTACTTGCATTGCTGCAATAGGTGTTGTTGGATATGCCCCACAGCAAATTCTCAATGCTTGCGCTTGAATTCTGCCCAATTTCTCTAACTGAGATGCTATACTTCCATAATCTAGCACAGATCTTATCATTGCTATATATACACTGTTTGAAGCGCCCCTCTAAGGACCTGATTAACCAGCTCGATCAGGGGAAAGCTATATATGGGAAGAGCACCGCTGATTACGTCATCATCCAGCCCCAGCCGAAAACAGACCCTGAGGACAGAATCCAACCAGCTCACCTGGTGAGAGAGCTTTAGGAACTCCTCCACATACCTCTCCAAATCCCGACCACCCTGCCGCAGACACCACAGCCTGTCTTCAGCCGTGGACATCTCGTTTTGGTGGTCAGTTATTCTGTCACGGTGTTGCTGTGCCAGAGAACAGGCAGGAAGATGAGGATGAAGGATACCAGAACACTTTAATGAATACACGAGAGGGTAGGAGCACACGCACAGGGTAACAGTCACAATGACTGACAAACTGGAACACAATGGACAGGAACTGATATAGGGTGGATAACGAGGGGCAGACAGGTGAGCACAATGAGGTGATTAACTCATAATGGGAACAGGAACAACCAAATAAGGACACAGAGGGAGAAACCATAATAGACAGTCCACAGGGGTGTGACACTATCTGCTCCCCACTCTTGTCCTGCCATACATTTCATAAAACTTTTTTACACTTACTCACTATCTTATCAATATGTTCTTTCCATGTAAGTCTAGTATCCAGCCACATTCCTAGGAATCTAACCGATGTTACTCGTGCCATGTCTTTGTTATATATTCTTAACTTCCATTCACTGTCTACTTTCTTGTTAGAAAATAAGGTTTGTGACTTCTCCACAGAAAACTTAAATCCCCATTTGTATGACCATTTAACTACCTCATCCACAGCCTTCTGCATTTTCCCCAAATTCAACATATTGTTTCTTCCTCTGAACCACAAAGCCCCATCATCTGCAAACAGTGATCTTCCAATACTCCTATCCACCTTACTAAACATATAATTTATCATTATTATAAAAAGCACTGGACTTATTACACTTACTTGAGGAGTGCCATTTTCTATTATTCCTTGAGATGATATAGAGTCTCCTACTCTCACTCTTATTACTCTTTGTTTAAGGAAGTCACTAATCCAATTAAACATTCTTCCCCCTACCCCCATCTCCTCCAATTTTATCATCAAACCCTCTCTCCATAACATGTCATAGACTTTTTCAATATCGAAAAACACGGCAGTTACTGATTCTTTATTTGATAGAGCCTTCTTTATTTCCGCTTCCAAACACATAACCGGATCCATAGTTCCTCTTCCTACCTTAAATCCACTTTGATAAGGTGATAATTTTCCTTCTTTTTCCAAAAAATTAACTAGTCTGTCCGTTATCATTCTCTCCATCACTTTCCCTACATGAGATGTAAGGGCTATTGGTCTATAATTAGCCGGCTTACTTGGATCCTTCCCTGGTTTCCTTATTGGCAATACCAGTGCCTCTTTCCAACTTTGTGGTAGTACCCCCATTTCCCAAACTTTATTATAGAATTCTAACATTACTCTCAATGATTCCTCACTTAACTGCTTGATCATATAATAGCTGATTTCATCTTGACCATGAGTAGTTTCTCTCATTCTCCTCAGCGTTCGTTTTAGTTCCGTCATTCCAAATGGAACATCCATTATATTATCTCTTTCCGCTCTTTTGTCCAATAGATGAGGATGCTCTTTTAATATTTCCTCCCTTTCCCTCTTAAATTCTTCAGTCAGATTTTCCTTACTGTTTACTTTTATAAATGTATTACAACACATTTCTGCTTTCTCACTGTTTTCTACTGCTATGACTTTCCCTTCATTTAAAACAGGACATTCTATCTCCTTCCTTATTCCATTCATCCTTCTGATCATATCCCATACCTCTTCTATTGATGTACTTTTCCCTATTCTGTCACAGAAATCTCTCCAATGTCGCCTTTTTGCCATTCTTACCACCTCTTTTACTTTTGCTTGTTCTCTCTTTATGTCTAAACCATCCTCCACCATTTCCACATACTCAATCCAGTTAGCTTTCTCATATTTCCTTCTCCCTTCTCTTCTCTCATTTCTTTCTACACAATTATTCATACACATTTCAATCAAAATTGGAAAATTATCACTGCCTATAGTACATTTCCTTAATACCTTTCAGTTAATTATTCCCCCTAACCTACTTTTTGTTAGAGTTAAATCTAACACTGCTTCTTGACCTGTTCTCATGTCTATTCGTGTACCTCCCCTATCATTCAGACAGATCAAATTCCTCTCATCCATTAATTCTTCAATCACCTGCCCGTTTTTTTTGTCAATTACACTTCCTCCCCACATATTACTATGGGCCACACCAGATAACCCTCTCTCTACTTTGCCCTTCTATCTTCATCATCTCTTCCAATGCCATTTGTCTGCATGGATTGTAAAAATGAATTATTACAACACTCTTGTCATCCTTCCATACCTCAACCACCACATATTCTATTTCTATTCCTTTCCCCACCATCCTATGCTGTATTTCAGACTTAATGAAAGTAACACACCCACCACCATTTCCCTCTTCCCGGTCTCTTCTCACAGACACATATCCTTTAATTACAAAATCAAATTTAGGTTTCAGCCAAGACTCTTGTACACATATGACATCTGGCTTTTCCTCCATCTTATTTAGATAACCCTTAAATTCCAATCCATTAACCACTAAGCTCCTAGCATTCCATTGTAATATTGCTAACATCAAGATTATTGTCCATCCCATGATTCTTGACTAGGCTGTATCTCTAACCATTTCCCATGTTAGCCCTTTAATATCCAGGAACCTCTCTGCTGCTCTCACTATTATCTGTATCTTTTCTGTTCTTCTTTCAGTCTGCGCTGAACAATTTATGACCTTTGCCATGGATAACACAAAACTCTTTTTACTTACTATCATTGTGTCATCCGATATACTGCTTCTCTTTCCCTCATTTCTGGTTTGATCTCTCCATTCCTCCTTCTCCTCACTCTCTTTCTTTTTCCTTGAGTCCACTTTTTTAACTGCTTCCGCATATGACAGCTTATTTCCATCTCTTTCCTTTTGAATATCTACTGCCCTCTTTCTAACTTCACATCCTCCATATGCCACATTATGGGCCCCACCACAATTACAACATTTTGCTTCCACATTCCTTTCACATTTTCCATACTCATGTTCTTCCCCACAATGTGCACATCTCTTTTTGGCTCTGCATACACTTGCAATATGACCATATCTCTGGCAGTTATAACATCTCAGTGGAGCACGCACATATTCTCTCACCTTAAAGCTAACATATCCAATCATCACTTTACTTGGTAACATTCCACTATTTTCAAAGCACAACATTACAGAAAGACTTTCTTCCTTATTACCTTCCCTATTCCTTTGCGATCGCTTTGCTTCAATTACATTTCCTCCTTTTATATTCCTCTTCAGCTCTATCATAGTGACCTCCAATGGTACCCCTGTAATACTCAGCATATCCATGATTTTCCACCCGTTTGCTTACAACTTGAAATTTCTTGTTTACACACAACCTTCATTTTCATCACTTTATCCCTCTGTTCCTCATTATCACATATCACCATCAATGCTCCATCCTGAAGTACTCTTGCACATTTAATCTCTTCTGATTGTTTCCTCAACTCATTTGTTAATTCAATTGGGTTTACTCCTTTTACTCCACTACTTTTACACTTTAAATTTCACAATCATTTTTATTTCCTCTCTCCTTCCACTTATTAATTTCCCTTTCCAGTTCAATTAAAGGTATGAGACAAAAGTCTTTTGAATATTTATTTTCCTGCAGGAAAAGGTCTACATTCATACAGTCACTCAGGGTTGGCTGTAGATTGCAACAAAGAGGAAACACCCAACTCAACATTTATACCGTCATCAAATGCAGATGCACTGATCTCATTCAATCATAATGCATATTCAACATATACGTCCATTTAAGGTGCCTAACTATGTCCTCTAGATGTGTTTCTAAGAATTTAATGCAAATCATTTTCTAAGTAGCCAGGACGTCTAAGCTAAAATAACATTTCTGGATAACTTGGTCTAACTTTGGTCATTTTGAGCTCAACTAAAGCACAAGTATCATATATCCGACATTTGGGTGTACGCTATGTAACCATGCCACATAAATGTATCTAATAAGAGTCCCTATAGTCTACAGCATTAAGTCATTTTCCTCTATTCAATCTACATTTACCTGAAAATTTCAAATCTTGAAATCTATATCAACACTCAGCCCTAGTTTGAGTAAACCTAATGAAATCATCACAAACCCATCACACAAATGGATACTTCTGCTAAGCTTAAACCATTAGTTTGTTCACACTTTCTTCCCGGTGTGTTGATCTTCTCATTAGCCTCATTGGCGTTCCATCTTCACCAGGGTGACTCTTTGCGAGCCATTGCAATGGGCTTTCCCTCGTTGGCAAGGGAGGGTCATTACTAGCACGCCCTTGATCCCTCACTTTCTTGAAGTGTAGGGTTGCTGAAACTGATTGGTGTAGTTTAAGTTGAGAACGGTGTTACAATCTCAAACCCTTTTTGCTGATCGTTACAGATCTTTTCCTAAGATCACAACAGAACATTTGCTGGTCCTTATTGATGGAGTGAATCAAACATTGACAGAGCTGCTGACACCTGTAAATGGAGATCTTAAGTGTTTTAGTTAGTCAACAACGTATAATAACTCATCTGCTCATCTGGCCTGTTGTCCTTTTGGTGTGACCTGTGAAAAGTACATGTGGGATGAAAGCTGTCCTGGCTTCTTTTTGGGCTACCATATTTTCATTCCCATCAATAGGCATAATGAATTTCAAAATGAGACAATTCAACTTTGTTTTCTCCTTGCTTTACAAATGGGACCTATTATAACCTGATAATTTCTCCAGCACACTAAACACTTCACTCTGTTACACAGCCCTTTTTACCTGGAAAACTCTCAACCCACTTTGTTCATGTCAGCAATAGCAAGACCATATCTGATACTTTTGACACAACACAATATAAAATCAGTCCAATGAAGTCCATCATGCTGAAATGTTAAAACAGAAAATTATGTGTGGGGTGGACAAAGCAAAGTTGATTGATTTGCCTTCCCATGTTAAGCACTGCGCAAATGTGGCCTTGTTATATTTCTGCCACAATAATAACCTTGATATTGACCAGGATACTTAATCCAATTCATCCATGGCCAATAAAATAACATTTAACCAGTGTTGGGAAGGTTACTTTGGAAATGTAATAGGTTACAGATTACAAGTTACACTATTTAACATTTAATAGTAGTGTAACTTTTTCAATTACTTTATGAAAGTAATGTAACTGATTACTTTTGATTACTTTTCTAAATTTCTAATGAATGTTTATTTGCAACTGTTAAAGAGCAGGTCACATGGGTTTTTGAAAAATATCTCTTTTGCAGTTTATAAAGTAGCTATTCTTAAATGAAAACAATCTGAAAAGTTGTTAAGCAAAAAAAGTCCATGGTAAATAAAGATATTGTCTCTCAAAAGAGAGAGCCGATTCTGAATCGCCTTAACGAGTCGTCATATTTTCGAATCTTTTGCCTGTTACGGGTCTACGTCACTGGGTAACTCATTTGCATAATCCCCGCCTGCCCGCGAAATACGAATCAAGTCTGACCTGCCCACAAACACTTCCGTTAGTTAGTAGTGATGGGAAGTCTGGTTCTTTTCTGCGAACCGGTTCTTTTGGACAGTTCGTTTCAATGAACCAGTTAAAAAAAAACGGTTAACATAACTTCAATCAGTTAAAACATCATAATCATGATCTGAATAGTTTACAATTAAGTTTTGCAACTAAGCACCCAAATACAGTAACAGGCGTACGTGATGTGCATACGAGGATTTAAGTCTTGAAGATATAGTTAATAAATTAGTTGACATCAGCGCAGAAACCATAATCCACTTACTATACATAATCCATTGCGATTAATTTGTTATTAAATAAATTTACGTTTCGCCAGATTGCCCTTCATTCAAGTCATCGATTAACCCGCGCTCATAACATTAGCACAGAATCAGTTGTCCAAAAGAACCAGTTCGGTTCAGACGTGCTGTGTCAGTCATCCCAGATAGCAAAAATCATCTGGGATCTGCACGACAGACTCGGGCCGGTGTCTTTTGGCACAACGGGCCAATACCGGCACGGATCCCTTTTTCCGAATCTGGACCAGAAGTGGGCCAAATGTGCGCCGGATCTGGGTCCAGCACCATGCTGGATCTGGGTCAGCTCATTTTGTGTATGTGTATGTGTGTGTGTGTGTGTATATATATATATATATATAAAACAACCATTTAAATTAACTAAACAATTTAACTACGTGACATTATAATATAAAACCAATACTAAAATGTTCGGGAAAACATACCTGTTACTGCTCAAAGCTCAGTTTTTGGAAATACAATTTTATGTTTTTTATAATAATTTTAACAATTTTAATGTATGCAATAATATAAATCCATTAAACGACAACACCATTTGATCTAAAGGTATCAAACCAACTGTAAAATATTCAGAATATTATTCCCTATAATGCACAAGTCTTGGTTTTCCAGATTATGCCTTTACTGTTTTTATATACAGTACTGAATCCATATTTGTCATGTTTTATATACTGTACCCACTTAAATTAATTAAACTCTGACACCGTATGAGAGATTAAGGTATCAAACCAACTGTAAAATATTCAGAATATTATTCCCTATAATGCACAAGTCTTGGTTTTCCAGATTATGCCTTTACTGTTTTTATATACAGTACTGAATCCATATTTGTCATGTTTTATATACTGTACCCACTTAAATTAATTAAACTCTGACACCGTATGAGAGATTATTTGTCATGTTTTATATACTGTACCCACTTAAATTAATTAAACTCTGACACCGTTTGAGATAAATGTATCAAACCAACTGTAAAATATTTAGAATATTATTCCCTATAATGCACAAGGCTTGGTTCTTCAGATTATGCCTTTATTGTTTGTATATATAGTACTGAAACCATATTTTTTTCATATGTTTTATATACTGTACCCACTTAAATTAATTAAACTCTGACACCGTTTGAGATAAATGTATCAAACCAACTGTAAAATATTCAGAATATTATTCAATTTAATGCACGCTTGTTTTTTCAATTTAATGCACAACGCTTGTTTTTTCAGTGCTATATATAAAAACAGTAAAGGCATAATCTGGAAAACCAAGACTTGTGCATTATAGGGAATAATATTCTGAATATTTTACAGTTGGTTTGATACATTTATCTCAAACGGTGTCAGAGTTTAATTAATTTAAGTGGGTACAGTATATAAAACATGACAAATATGGTTTCAGTACTGTATATAAAAACAGTAAAGGCATAATCTGGAAAACCAAGACTTGTGCATTATAGGGAATAATATTCTGAATATTTTACAGTTGGTTTGATAGATTTATCTCAAACTGTGTAAACAAACAAATCTACATAAAATAACTAAACATAAGTTATCTATTTTATTTGTCCATTTGTAATATTGATAATTTAAGGAACATTTGTGTAGAATAAAAAGCGAGTTACATCAGCAGCTACTTCAACATGTAAATACAGTATTGAGCAGATAAATCACAGAGGTGACTTGACTCTTGTCTGGATGTTACAGGGACAGATGAAACACACGTGTGTTTATCCAGTGCAGAGTGACTGATGAAGGAATGCTATATAAACGTATTTTAAATCTTAAGTTGTAGTTTATATTAATTATTGTAATTTCAAACAACTATTACAGCACTTTTCTGATTCTTGATTTCTGTGCATTTGCTGCAGAGCTTTTGTGGTGGAGTAGGACCTGTAAGGCAAGGTTATGTTTCATTTGTGAAAAAAAGGGAAAACCTGAAACAAAAATATAAATAAGATAATTTTGTTACTTCCAATACAGAAACCAGATGACATTATGCTGTTAAAATGACTGCTTGTGTATTGCGTTTGTGCATCTTTGCAGGATCTGAAATGTCTGCAGACTGGTGTGAGTAGTGAGGATGGAGGAGTCCACAGCAGTATCCTGGAAATGGTTCAGTGCCGCTCCATCACTCCACCTCTTACTGCCTCATCTGGGCCGGATGCTGCTGTGGTCTCTTCATCCTCAGTGACCCCAGAGCCAGCGAGAGCATCTAGAGCAGGGGTGCCCAAGTGATCCTAAATACCCTAATTACTTGCCTCAGGTGTGTTTGATTAGGGCTGGAGCTGAATTTTGCAGGAGAGTCGATTGCCAGGAGCAGGGCTGGGCACCCCTGATCTAGAGAAACACCAAAAGACACTGAGGATGTGAGTTTGGTCAAGTTTGTTCTGCTGGTTTCTGTTCATACAATGAAGGCTGACTTTCAGAAGCTTCAAAAGCATCATCAAAAAATGTCATGAAGCTTTTATCCAAAGTGATTTACAGTGCTCTTATTACAGGGACCTACAATCCACTGGAACAACCTGGATTGCTTAAGGACATACTGGTGGTTTTGAACCAGCAACCTTCTGCTCACCAGTTCAGTGGTTTAGCCCACTACAAAAGTAATAAAGCTACAACATAAAAATGCATGTAATTGTAAACATGAAATTTGGCAAGAAATGGAAAGCTGACAACATGAACTGTAAAATGTTTAACTCCGTTTAAATGTTTAACAGGTAGTCGTGCTCATGGAAAGCAGCACACAGATGTTTGGAGCAGACACAGTGGCCGCCAGATTGTCCCACATGTGTTCCCCTGCTTTTGCTTCTAGCTTGTGTGGTTCAGAGCCGTCATCATGGTCTTCCTCATCCTCTTGCTCAACGATGTCCCCATTGAGAAGAGCGAGATTGTGAAGCACAGCGCAGCAGCAGAACTGTCTCAGCTGTGTTGAGATGGCAGTATGATGTGGGATTCACCATCTGTAAATACATGATTGTTAGAACAATACGTTTGAATTAAGCTTTGTTTCATCTGTTGTTGACTTGTATATGTATTTATTGTGATGCTTATTTTTATTCATTACTTTACTCATTCATGTTTATTGTTGTCAGTAAATAAAATATATTTTATTAATGTATTAATTGCTTGACTGAAAATTGATGTATTCACATCGACTGCATTTGTTCAGCTAGTGTATATTTATGTATAGCTATGTCACGACAAAAAAGCATATATTTTTTAATTTTTAGTCAAAAAGCAAACGATGCAATTCATTCTGGGGTAATCTTAAAGTTTAAGTAGTAATACTTAAATTTTTAAAGTATAAAATCAACAGTCTTCTCCAAAGGCGAGATCTTCGAGCAGCTGCCCGACATATCCTTTGTGCAGATATTGCAAACACTGAGGAAAACCACACTAGATTGAGTTAGTGATGCTATGAGGTGTTAGTGCACCTGTCCCTCTTTTTTATTATTATTGTTGCCGAACTTATAATTACATGAAAGATGGTTGTATCTAACAATGAACAATCATAATGGCATATATTATATTAGTGCTATATTACATCCCTACTGTGTTATTCCTATGTATGTCTGCACTATGTACTTTCTTCTACACTGGAAGCTCGTCAAGCCAAATTCCTTGTGTGTGTAAACATACTTGGTAATAAAGCTATTCTGATAAAACAGTTTAAAAAAATGAATGTGTTCATCATAGTATGAGATAGTATACACAGAAAAAAAGCACAGTGACAAGGTTAAATATCTTTGAATAATTCATCATGATGCATTTTTGGCCTGAGGGGTGAAACCAGTTAAATTCAACAAGAAAAAGAATAAATCAAAGGAGATTTAAGCCACTTTTGCGTGTGTATAAAACATTTTGCGCAAAATAATTAACAAAATATTCAAGAGATAACGATTTTGGGTTTTCGTAATTTTTTTTTTTAATGCTTTAAGGATAAAACTGTGGATCACATTAGCGGAGTTAAAAATATAAGAACTTAAATCAACCCAAAACGTATTGGCTATACTACAATTACAAAAAAGGGCAGTTGTTTCTTCAACAAGACCACAAAATGGGCAAGTTTCATCATTATCAAGATACTCACAGATAGATGAATTAAACCTGTCACTCATATCTTTTAAGTTGTTGCGCTTGTTATAACGTCCTAGGTCACATGATAACGTCAGCACATAGCGGATGATAGCCGAATCGCATTCATACTTAACGCATTCAGGCTGTACACTCTCATAGCGCTCGGTAAGTAAGTACTTAAAGAAATTAAGTGCTTATAATTTAGAAATTATGCGGTTTCGAACGCAGCCCGACAACATCTTGTTTTGACATCTCGCGTGGTTCTGTGTGATTTGGTCAACTTCAAGTTACGCCGCCTCTTCTTCTTTTTCTGGTGTTTTATGGCGGTTTGGCAAACCAGCGAAAAAGGTGCATTACCGCCACCTACTGATCTGGAGTGTGGAGTGTCCATAAATTTGGAAGAAAGAAATACAAAAGGGAAAAAAGAAAAAAAAAACTAGATTCTATCTATTGTTCCCGTGTTTTTCAGGTATTTAAACATATTTTCTTGCACTCTTGATTGCCTCGACCCATTTCCTAACAATACTTTTAAAGAAATATTATCAACTCCCAGCCATCCTAATTCTTGAATTAATTGAAATCTCTCCCTTTCATATGCAGAACACTCAAAAAGAATGTTTCACTGTTTCTAATTCTCCACATTTGTCACACTTTCCCGATTCATACTTACCTATTTTAAAAAGACTATAGTTTAATGCTGTATGTCCGATTCTTAGTCTTGATAAGATGACATCTTTCTTCCTATTTCCGTATCTTTTCCTCTCATTTCCAACACACTCCTGAATCTGGAAAAGATGTCTTCCTTTAGACCCATTATTCCATAACTGTTGCCATTTCTTACTTACTTCAAATGATATCACTCTCTTGAATTCCGCTTTACTTAAAGCTAACTTAATTTCTATTTGTGTATGATTTAATGCTTTCTTTGCTAGCAAGTCTACTTCCTCATTTCCATCCACACCCACATGTGCAGGTACCCTGAGGAATTGTACCTCTATCCTTAACTGCCTTATTCTAAACAAACTTTGTAAAACTTCAAATACTAAGTCTTGCCGAGCTTCAGATTTACCACTTAGTAGGCTAATGAGCGCAGCCATTGAGTCAGTACATATCACAGTTCTATCTGGTTGAACTTCTTCGATCCACTGTAGAGCTAGTATGATAGCTAATAATTCAGTAGTAAAAACTGACACATGATCTGATAATCTTTTAGCCATTTTTATTTTAAAAGTAGGAATATAAACTGCTGCTGCTGTTCTTCCAGACTCTGGGTCCTTAGACCCATCTGTAAATACCTGTAACACAGAATAATACTCTTGTTTTATATATTGTTGAACTACTACTTCAGTTGGCATGTTCATCTCCGTTTTTTTTTTACTTTGTCAATTTGTAAATCAATTAGTGGCATAGGGAACAACAAAGGAGGAATTGCTGGAATAGCAACAGAAGGAGCAATTTCATGGTCTTTCAACTCCAAGCTGTTTGCCTCCTTCCTTACTACCCAACCAAAGCTTGTAATTTCTTTGTATTCATATTCCCAACAATCTTTCAGAATTAGTTTAACTGGATGGTTATCCAGATGTCCCTTTACACCATACCAGTACCTTAATCTTAGCTGAAACCTACGCTGTTCTAGAGGCAATTCTCCCATTTCAACTTGTAATGAAGCCACCGGAGAAGATCTAAATGCTCCACAACAAATACGCCAAGCTTGATTTTGTATTACCTCTATCTTTTTAAGTAAGGTTTTTGTTCGCAGAACTATAAACTACACTACCATAATCTATGTTTGACCTAATCACAGCACCATACATTCTTTTCAATGACTGACAGTTTGCCCCCCACTCAGCTCCGGACAAGCACCTTAAGACATTTATTGCTTTTTTGCATTTTTCTATCAATTTTTGAATATGAATTTTAAAATTTAATTTAGAGTCCATCCACATACCCAAAAATCTTATTTACTTGTTCCAGCTGATAACCATACATTTTGACATTCAAACTTGGATTCATTTTCTTTTCTGAAAAGCATATTACTTGAGTTTTTGCCACAGAAAACCGAAAACCCCAACAATTCGCCCAATTCTCCACCTCATTCACTGCTTTTTGCATTTTATTTTCTACAAATAAAACATTGGGCCCCCTTTTCCATAGTGCTCCATCATCCGCATACAATGACCTTCCTATTCCAGTATCAACGTTATGAAAGATGTCATTTATCATTAAATTAAAAAGAATAGGACTGCTCACACTTCCCTGGGGAGTTCCATTCTCAATTGGGAGAATCTGAGAAAAAGCAGTCCCTACTCTTACTTGAATTGTTCTTCCAAACAAGAAACTCAGAATCCAGTTATACATTTTCCCATCAATTCTCAAGCTTTCCAATTTCATTAAAAGCCCCTCTTTCCACAACATACCGTAAGCTTTTTCTACATCAAAAAATACTCCCACAAGGACCTCTTTATTAATCTGAGCTTTTCGAATTTCAGCTTCCAAACACAATATTGAATCCATCGTATTTCTCCCTTTTCTAAATCCACTTTGACATGCTGAAAATGTTTCTACTTTCAATCACATAAGTCAACCTGTTCCTAACCATCCATTCCATAAGTTTGCATAAATTTGATGTCAGCGCAATAGGTCTATAATTAATTGGCTGAGAAGTGTCTTTTCCTGGTTTGGCTATTGGCACTATGACCCCATGCTTCCAATCTTCTGGCAAATTCCCTGTCTCCCATATTTTGTTAAAAAGTCTTAAAATCATACTTAATGATAATTCTGATAAGTGCTTTATCATCTCATAGCATATGTCATCCTTGCCTGGAGAAGTATGTTTGACCCCTGCAAGCGCTCTCTTTAACTCATACAAAGTTAATTCTGAGTCCAACATACTTCCTGATGGATTATTCTTTACATAAATGTGAGCATTCTCCCTAACTTTCTGTTCCCTATATCTCCTCATATTATCTGAAATATTACCATTACTGTGCACCTTTACGAATGCTCCCACTAACATCTCTGCTTTGTCACTGTCTTTTATTGCTATTTTTCCATTATTTACTAAAACTGGAATATTGTTATTTCTCTGAATCCCTCCCATCTTCCTAATCATATTCCAAACTTCATTAATTTCTATTTCTTCCCCAATTCTATTACAGAATTCTCTCCAGAAATTTCTTTTTGCTTTTCTTACTTCCGTCCTCACTTTTGCCTGTGCTCTCTTAAAGTTAATATACTCACAAACAATACAGATTTTCTGGCTTTCTTCATCGCTTTATTTCTTTCCCTAATTGCCTTACTATACTCGTTATTCCACCAGGGGACTGCTTTTTTTACTATTTATAGTTTTCTTTTTGCCAATTACTTCTTCTGCCGTATTTCTTAACACTTCACTTATTTTCTTACTTAACTCTTCGATACTTTCAATACCATCTTCTGTTTCACACATCTTGTTATGACACAATTCTTTCAAAAGATCCCTGTTGGCTGCATTCAATTTCCATCTTGGAATTCTCTCCACCAAGGTTTGTATGATATCCACACCAATTTTACACCATATTGGATAGTGATCACTTCCCATTGTACTTTGTATTGGATAGTGATCACTTCCCATTGTACTTTGTTTACTTACATTTCATTCACATTTTCCAGCTAGATTTTCTAACACTAGAGTGATATCTAAAGCTGATTTACGCCCACGAGTTACATCTATTCTTGTAAAACATCCATTGTTAATACATACTAACCGTCCCCAATCTAACATTTCTTCCACAATCAGCCCATTATAATCTGTTTTAATACTCCCCCATAGTGTATTATGGGCATTGAAATCACCACACCATATTACTTTCTGATTTGTGTTACCTCTTATATTTTCCAATACTTCCTTACTTAACTTTTCACATGGATTATAAAAATTAACTACTTTAATAGTATGACTCCCTTCCCAGACTTCCATCATAACCACCTCTTGGTCCCCACTCACGTCAACATTCCTATATCCCACACC